CAAAACAGTGATTAGAGCTCCAGCTGTGCCCATGATACCTCTGACTTTTCTTCCAGATCACAGAGAGCGATCTGTTTACATTCTTTAGTCGTAGAAAAAAAAATTCTCATGGCATGTTTGCCCAAGTTTATGCTGCTCAACAATGTTAATGATAGTTTGTTTCAGGTAGTTCTCATGTAAAAACCCAGCTTGCTCAAACCAATTACTGAAACTAATGCTTAAAAAATTCTTAATGCATAGTTTTATTGAAAAACAAAACTCTACGTAAAATGGGTTTTTTTTCAAAAAGTGACTGCAAGAAAAGCAGCCTTCTTTGGAATTGCAAAGGGAAGTATTGATTTGAGAATAATTTAGGAAATGTTTTCCTTGAAGCTTCCCACATCTGTCTCTTTAAGTGAAAGTACAAAGGTATAAGTTTTCTTTAATGACTTTTGGAACACCATTTAGTGGAAAAACAGCTCTAAGTTGCATAACTAATAGTAGTCTTGCATATAAAAGTACTTTAAGATTTCTTATTATTTAAAAAAAAAGCAAAGATAAGTTTATAATATCCAAATACACAAATTGGTATTGAGATGTTCCTTCTATGTTTCCCACCAAGGACACGATTAAGAGTTTTTGAGAATTTTTTAATTAAACAAAATATTATTGTACTTTTGAATACAGGACCTGCCTAGCACTTAAACATCCACCACCTTGATAAACCACATTTGTGCAGGCCCATCATAATGCTCACAAAAGTTCTTCCTATGGCTTTGGTCAAATGTACTGGAGTCCAGGGCATTTGTGCTCCTCTAGCAGCAGGGAATGTCTTCTGTTACCATCCACAGGGAGATGAGATTCAAAGTGTACTCCTTGCACAGAGGGGCACTGGAAGTGCCCAGAGTCAGCGATTTACAGTTCTCCACCGCTGCTCTGCTCATGAAGGCACCACCCCACTTTGTGATCAGCCTGCTGCTCCTTTCACCCTGGTTCAGGCACACTTTGCATTCCCACAGAGCTGGCACAGGCAGCGGGCAGCTCCCACTCTGAGCTGGAGCTTGCAGAGGTCATCAGAGATCTTGTTACTATCAGTAGTAACATACTTGAAGATGATTTCCTTTGGGTTGTACTCCACTGTAGACTTGCTTGTTCATTTTCTTTTGATACAAACTTTCTGTGGCAAAAAGGGAGCTGTGATTTTTGGAAGGTAAATTTCTCCATCAGCTAATTAGGTTAATTTTTAATTCAGCTTGCACATAAGACACTTGAAAAAGGTGATTTCTGAAAGCATGCATTGAAGTTGGGCATCCCTTTTCCAAATGTTGTCAGTGGCAGTTAAACTTCTCCTTTTCAGCTTCGAAAGCATTCCCCTCTTTGGGCTGTTCAACTCCTGTGACGTTTTATTTGTAAGACTAGGGTGTACCTAAACAGTAATTCCTTTATTCAGGTTGAAGCATTGTTCCAGCATGTGCTAGAGATTCAGACTGGAAATCGTACATCAGTTCTGACAAAAACTTTATTTTTTTCAGATATCCTTTTCCTTTTCAGAAGCCTAATTAATTCAAGAACAAATTATATCTTAATGCAAAGCACAACTTGCTAAGAAATGTCATGGGTTGGAATAATTTTTAATGTCTATTTCTCCAATATTAATAGTATTATTTCACATATAAGCATACATGTAATACCTGTCTTAACAGTTTGAAGAGATCATAACACTGCTCACCTACCACTGCTATTGTTGAAGGTTTTTACACAAGACTACTCAGGAGGGTCCCATCCCTGAGCGGGGGAAATTCCCTTACTGCAGAATTAGATGGCATCAATTTTGCAGGATGCCTATGAAAAGTTGCCAAATTAAGTTTTACAGGAGAAAATTCTCATAGAAGAGCACTTTGAAATTATTTTTGCCGCTTGCATCTTTGCCTTTTGTGAGTTTTCTTTGAGACCTAAAGGGGCTGGAATTAGTAAAATAAGATCAAATTATTGCTTGACTTAGCAACCCCAAATCCTCTGTGCACTTTTCCAGAGGTGAAAAATTTGTGTCAGGAAGAAGACAGAGCAACTTTAGTACAAATCATACCTCTAAGAACTCTGTATTGAAGCACAGGATTAACTGTTTTCATCCCCTCTTTTTGCATGTGCTGTCCTTCAACGTTTCAGCAGGAGTAGGGTACAATCTATCAGAATTCATGTTCCTCCTCCCTCTGTGACTGAAGAAACTCCTGATGTGACTTGCAGACGGAGCTCCCTTGTAACCCCATCAGCACACACAGTGTTCTGGCTGCCCACTTGGCACTTGGGATTGTGCTGCTCCAGGCTGGGGCTGTGTTTGGCAGGAAAGCTCCATCAGTGCAGCCAAGCACAGCTAAAGCAATGACAAGTGGGTCCCCCTCATGCAGAGCTTTCTCTGCAGATGAGCAAGAGGCAGCTCCGGAGTGGAAGTTGCCATCTGCTTCACCTCAGCGTGGCAGGAGGCCAGGGCTGAAAATTCTTCAGTTTTGAAGTGACTGCCACACAAAATAACCTATTGGAGGAAGGAGATGGGGCTGGGCACTCTCTCTCTGGGTGTCCTTGCGCGTCCCTGGCCGCAGAGCATCTTGTACCCTTTAGGTGTGGTTCACCACACACGGGTGCAGCCAGGCACATCCCATCGGGGACACCACGTCCTGCTTTGGCAAAGTGGGAGGTGGTGCTGCACAGCCAGGCTGGGGGGAGGCAGCTCCTGGGGCTGCTGGCAGGGGGCTCTTGCAGCCACCCCGGGCACACAGCCTGTCCCAGCCAGCCCTGCTCGCGCTGGAAGCAGCAGCAGTGACACTTCCTCACTGGTAACCTGCTCTCCTGTTTTTGAGTTTCTGTGCTGCCATGGGCCTTGCAGAACAGGTTCCCACTGCAGCCAGTTGTCAGGCTGGTGGCTGACACAACAGCCCACGCTGTGGCATGTGCAGATATCCTTTTCTTTTTCCTACTGTTTTTTTTATTATTGTTGGCTTTGGTGTGTTCTGCTGGTACTGTGCTCCTCCAGCACATGCCCCTGGGCTGGCCAGGACCTGGCAGATGTGCCTTGCCCCTCCAGGTCTGCCCTTCCATAGCAAGGAAGGAAGTTCCTCACCTGCCAGCAGCTGCTGTATCACAACAGATTTGGACAAGGCATGATGACAGATGCTGCCACAGGCACTGGAGCTCAGGTTGCAAAAGCTACAGAAGACTGTTTTTATGAAGTCTTTTACGGTGGGATTCATCTCTCCTGACTTTCTGTTGCCAAAAGCTGATCTTGAATAGCCTTCCACATCCATATCTGGAGTTCATCCCATCTCCTACCTAAAGTAAGTATCTAGGATAGATCAAAGGGCCCATGCCTTTGGAAATATTTATTTGTCCTCCTCTGACTATAAGGTGAACCTGAGGGGCTCATCTGGACATGTCTGCACTGAAACCATGTGGTGCTGCCTTGTGAGTGGATATTACCATCTGCATGCAAGCATCACAGAAAGTGTCATGTCCCCAGTAGATAAACTTCTTGTGGATGTCTCATCTTGGGAACTGTGTTGAAGACCCTGCTCTCCTGACAGACAGTGGGCTTGCGGGGGCCTTTCCAACAAATTTCATTTTCCCCACCTGGTTGCAGACTGACAAGAATAAGTAGGGAACCCATTGCTAATGATCATACAGGGTTTTTTTTCCTGCAAACTTTGCAATACTGTAATAGTTAAAAGCAGTCCAAAAAATACAGGTTGCAATAAGTGTAAATTTGACATTGTCAGATGATGCAAAATCTGCTTCATGCTAATGATATTCTGGTAAATGAATCTAAGCTTTTTAAGCATTAAAAAAATTAAAATAATTAAGGCATTAAGAGGTAGGCAAAGATAAATGTTCTACGCCTGAGTAAAAGTATGCAAATGAGAATCAATTTATCTGAAGGATAGGTTTGATGGATTTTCCATATTCTGAACTCTTTAAAGAGAAAGTGAGTTTCAACATGTACATTGTTCCCTTGCATTAAAGCTAAATTAATTAAGCAAGAAGTCAGCATTTAAATAGTAATGCAGGAACACTGCATAAAATTATCATAGAAAATAACACTTTGTTCTGTTGCAAATATTCTTACGAAATGGTAGAAATAAGATGTGTTTTGATTTGCTCTCTAAGAGCAAATATTGAGAGCATATAGTCCTGCTGGTAAACAGAAAAATTGAAACTTTAAATTAAGACCCATAATAAATTAATCAACATATAACGGTCACAGTAAAATGTGTAAAATTCTATTGAGCAAAATCCAATAACAAGTGCAAATATGGCAGATAAAATGATTGTCTGCAGTTAGCTTGCACGCTTCAGGGGGCAATGAGAGTTTGCATATATATGTACTTAGCAAGTTTATAATTTCTTTTAGCTTTCATAACGTTTTTTTAGTTCTGACTAAATGTTACGATTCTATGTACTTAATTGAGTTCACTAAGTCCTTAGCAAATCCCTTAATGTGTTTTTATACAAAAGAAGATAATCAAGGCTCTCCATGCAAACCTCTGCATTGGGGTTGTGACACAGAGGGCTCATACCCAAAACTGGCAGATGTCCATGAGCCATTCATGCCCTTCCAGGAGCTCAGCCATCCTTGGTGTCTCTGTGACCCTCCTCCAAGGCACCAAGGAGTGAAAGCTAGGAGGCTCCAGGTGCTTGGAAAAGCTGAGCTTGCCCTCCCAGGGCTCTTGGTGCCTGAGCTGAACCACTCCAT